GGACTACAGCCCGTCCACGAAAGCTTATGCTCTAATAAATTTGTTAGTCTCTACGGTGCCACAAGTACTCCTGTTCTTCTTTTTGCGGATACAGACTAACACGGCTGCTACTCTGAAACCTATCAACTCCAAAAGTTAACTGTGTCTATCCTAGACTTCTGCCTTTGACTTGTATGTGACTGACTTAGACCTTCTGTTACTCAGTCCCTTAAAAATGGGGGTGGATGAGTCAGACCCATGGGTCCTGTCCACAACTTGACTTGATGAATCTCTTGGGATTTGACTTTGGTTTTATTAGTGATGTATGACCTATAATTTCTGGCCATCTAAAACTTTGTCTCGAAGGCTAGCCCACTTGAAAGTTCCAGTGCTCTAGCCGCACTTGGTATCTGTGCCCCATATATTAAGACACTTGGTGTTCTTGCTGTCTGGGAATGATTCTGTCTCACCTAGAAGTGGTCACTCTGCATCTGATGAATGTTTATGTGCATATAGCAAGACATGCATATAGTATTGTATGTGTCCAATTTTTTTATACTGGACAGTGCTTCCAATTCACTGCTGTCTTCTAGGCTGCTGTCACACCAGCATGAATTTATAAAAATACCTAACCATTGCAACAATATATCCAAGAAGATGAGAGTAAATATTTTCGCCTGTTTGGATGCTTGACTTATGAAGTATGTCTCGTGGAAGAAATGAAAGAATTTGGCTGCAAGTCCCAGCTTTTAAGGGACCATTGGGGTCAAAGGAATCCTGTTTGACACAGTTTGTATTAGTTTGCAGTGTTTTGGACTTGTATGACAGGGGAAGGATTTAACAAAAGATTTTAGTTATCAAGAACCAAGCTGGAAATCTCAGCTCTTATGGCGCCAATAGTATTCATGGTATCCATGGCACGCTTTCACCTGAGAACCTCAGTATACTTTGAAGGATCAGTGAACAAAAAAACCCTTTTCATCCTAATCTGAAGACAAACACCCATCATGCTGCTGTTGATTTGGTGGGGTCCTAAGACACATTTCCCACATGACTACTTTATCTGACGTGGAAGAGCACTACTGCAATTAGGCCATGCTACTATATAATAGACCCTTGTGATGGAGCCATTCACCAGAGAGTCATGAGAAGTTTTCGTGTGGACACCCCAGAAAGACTCACCACACGCTTTAAATAGTCAGTGGTTTGTTGCACCAGAAAATACATTGGGACTACAGTTGTGAATAGATATCTTTGTTTTGTTGGGAAATATCTTGGCTATCAAAAGGAATGGGAAGAAGCATACAAAGGTCTTGACCAAACTCAATAGATTGTACATCTTGCCACATTTGATCTCTCAGAACCAGGGAATTTCTGCATCCCAATCTAAGGTCTCATTCTGTTATGGCTCCTGACAAAGTAAAGCTGTGTTAAGTCCTTGTAATTGCTCATGAGTCAGTCTGAGCCTTTAACTTTAAATGCCAATGATATTTGGTCTGGTGTGAACAAGTTTGCCAGGATCTTCTGCCTGGTCTCATGCAAAATATCTTCTTTAATTATAGACCGAGTTTGCAAGTTTATACGCTGTTCTGTTTTTCTTTATACTCATGTAAAATGTAGCCCACTTTTTGGTCAGTTGCTATAGTACTCTGTTTTTCTATAAAGTGCTATTAACATCTTGTGAAACCAGGGATTTTTTCAGTTTGTAAAGACTTTTTTTGAGCCACTGACTTTATATATAAACTCAAACTTCTTATGGAAAACATTGTGGACCAAGATTATTTTTTTTTTAAATAGCAGTCTAAAGTTACTCTTATCTCCTCATTCAAACACTTAAGAGGCCTGAGTTTCAAAAAGCATCATCACCCAACATCTGTTGATTTCAGTGGAGCTGCTGGATGCTAAGCAATCCTTAAAATAATCAAGCAACATATTTAAGTGCCCGAGCATACATTTACATGATAGATCAAGATGTTTTCAAGAGAACTTGTACGTATGGCTAGCTGACTGAATTTCTTGTTGTTTCTCAGATGCCAAGGTGTAGTTAGAATATGCACGTTATCTGTAGTCCGCTTCCAATCAGTTCCCGTCAAAGAGCTTCGTAATGCAGCTGCACAGAGTTTCTGCCTGTGCATATAAATCACTGTTGCTTGGACTCAGCTTTGCGTCTTGAGTTTGGATTTGTCATAACTGTCTAAAAGGACTTGTTTCCAAGCTTATAGATTCTCAGGTAAGTATGTATGTTTGAGATGTTTCTAGAACAGGGTTTGTTTGGATTTTACCCTTCAAACTTAAGGTTTTTTTGTATCCTCACCATTGTGAGGCTTTGAAATTCGACAGCTGTATTTTGCTTTTTGTAGCCAGTTATTGCTACTGCACAGTCTTTTGATAAAAATCCTGAAGCTTATAGTCTTTAGAAGGAGATGATGACTATATTTTACAAAAGTGAAAACTTACCTCTTGCTTACAGAAAGTACATTTATAACATCACTTTCCTTGCAGAGTTTTGGGGTGTTATGTTTTATATAATTTCTATCTGGTTACTTGCGGACATGTAAAAAGAGTAAGGGGCTATATTCTCAGCAGGAACGGATGCATGCCATCTGCTGCTGAAAAGTGGTTTGTTAGCATTAGAATTTGAAAGTCTGGGGAATTCCTGCTAGCCATAAACTGGAGGATAGGTTTAAATGTATGAATCTCTTATCTTTTGAAGAGAACTACAGGTAAGTTTCTTTCACTTAAGAACAATATAGCCTTGTTTTGCATGAGTATATCTACCTTTTCTAAATAACGGGATTTATAATGGGTATTTCTCTAAATTAACAGCTTGTTAAAATCAAGGTACAGTATGCATCAAAATTAAAACTTGATAAATGAATGTTGACAACTGGTAAATTTATATTGGTCATGTGTATTTGTATCAAAAGCTAACCGAGTTGTTTGTTAAGGTGACTGTCATAACACCACTATAGGTAAGTAGTGTTGTTTATAGCTTTAAGTATGATTTCTTTAACATCTATCTAGCTTCTGTTGCAGGTGGTGGACATGGACGTATCTCCTAATGATGTCACCATCCATTAGTACACACATCCTGCTAAAAATAAATATCAAAATCAAAATCCTGTATTGTCTCTCGTTTTTGAAAATTGAAAAGATATTACTTTAGTAACTGCTTATATCAAAATGTTCCCTTTGCCTTTTCACTGATACTTTCCATTGTTTCACAAACCACAACCTGTCTTTTATACCTGAAGCAGAAAATAAGTGTTTGTTCTCCCTGGAGATCAGAAGCTACAAATTTTAATCTGCTAGAATGAAATATGCAGCAGCTGCAAAGCTAGCATTCATTTTCAATAAATTCAACATCTTAAAGCCCTTGGTCTTGTTAAAAACACTTAATGTGGAACCCTTAACCAGAGAAGTCAGCAGTTTGACTTATAGTGAAGTTGTAATTTTAACAAAAAAGCTGTGCAAGTAATGCCATTATTATTTTTTACTGCCAGTAACTTGGTGAGCATGTTAGGTTACATCCCAGTGGGATGTGATACAACTTGCAGCATGTGTCCTTCACATGTACAATAGTGAATTTTCCCCCTTGTCTTCTCCATCTATCTTTTACACTTGGTGTTT